TTTTTTTTTGAAGGCGACCCGACGGTTGTCTCTCCGCGACCTCGTCGTCTCCGTCGCCGCCGACGCCGCAACCGCCTGCCGTCGTTCGAGAGTTTGCCACATTTCGATTTGATTTAATAATATTCTGACGATTATACGATCATATATTATATATATGTACGATGTATATACGTTATACTTCGACGAGACGATGACGAAAATCCACTGACTCGCAGCCTATATATATATATACTTGACCACCGCGCCGCGTCCGAACTGCATCGGACGCACATGAATGGGCCGTGGACACACACACACGTGCGCCTGTGTAATAATATATACTGTAGGTTTATACTTGCAGCGTATGTGCATACACATACCTGAGTGCGCGTGCGCGTGTGTGTGTGTGTGTGTACGCGCTTATATAACGTTTTTGTGTGTAGACTTATATGCTCGCACAGGTGTAGGGGGAGGCAAAGAAGAAACGAGACCGCATACCAAACCCGCGCTCTGTCCGGCATACTAATCATTTACCTACTATATATAGGTATGCGCCATCATCCCTCCGCCGCCGCCGCAGCGTCTGTCGCGTTATTAAAATAATAATAACAAAAAGAAAACGACACCGCTTGATTACATATATACGTAATACGTATATAACATGTTATATACATATCTACTCGCATACCTATACTATTTTTCTAGGTCCATTATTATATGAAAATATAACGAGAAGATAATAATATTATATATATAAAGTAAACGCGCATACTATATTATGACAATAATAGCCAATATTATGCGCATGTATACCTACACACATGTCATCATCATCGTATATTGTGTAGTGCGGTCTCGAGGCGGTAAACTTTGACTTAAACTATATTGCTGTGATGTATACACACTATTATGTACGTGTGTGTATGTGTGTGTGTGCTTAATATAAATTATACAATATCTATTATAATATATATGTATAGACGACGTTCATATGTGCAGTTTTAATTGTTTGAATTTTATGATTTTCAACAGCTGCCCGACGACAAGTGATGCTCGAATCGGCCAGCATAGCATCGGGCGTCAGCGTGGCGGTACTTTTGGTGTTCATAATCTGCACCACGTTTTACGTGAGGTCCAAGAGACAGCGGAAACTCAAGTTGAACGCAGCGGACGTCTCGTAAGTTAACTACCTACCTGCTGCAGCAGAGTTGCCACAAATAATAATAATAACAACTTAATTGCATTTTAAGAAAAACATTTTGTGTTCATTATWATATATAGTAGGTATATTATACAAATAAAAATTATTTAAATGATCGTCTCCAAAAACCTATAGGCTTGCGCGGAGGAGACAACAGTTCTTATTTCAAAAGCGCGTTTACAATTTTAAGACAACTAAACTAATAAATCGTATCAAACCATTCAAAATGAGCTTAAACAAATAAATAAGTAATGATTAAATAATACGTAAATTATGAGGCARGGACAATATATTTTAAGTACAGTACAAATTTATAGATGTGGGWTGATTTCATCTTATACTTAATATACTTTTTGTAATGTATAAAATAATAATTGTTTAATAGGTATATCGTACTCGTGCATAAATCTATACCTATATTGAAGGGATATTTTTTCAGTTTTATATTTATTTAATCTAAAAACTTTGTACATACTATTTTGACGAGGGGAATAGTATTATGGTTCAATTGATAAAAATATAGATTTGTTAGTTATTTTGGCTGAGATTTTTTCAAATTTTAAATATCATAAATATAATATATATTTAGTAACTCAGTACGATGACCTTTAAAATATGAAATGTTCGTCTTGTTACAGAATGGTTGACGGCAACTGGACGGACGCGGAAAAGCGGCCGTTCTCATATCGTCCGAAGCACACGATCATCACAATTCCCCTGAAGACAGTAATCACAGTGAGTGTATATTATATTATATTATATTATTGTTTTTGGTGATGTATATGCACACCTAAGTATAATTTTAAAAAAACGAGCTCGGTATTCCATTGGACGAAAACGGATTATTTTGTTTCTTTTTTTGTTTTACGAATATTAAACCCACGCGCTTATTTTATTTTCCGTTTTTCGGTTTCTAATCATTTAGGTCGTCGGCGACGATTATTGTTGCTGCACACGTGAATACGTATAATAATACAAATGCCACCGCATCTCGTTTAATTAAAAAAAAGGAAACTCTAATAATAATAATAATAATAATAATAATAATAATATTCTCTGTGCGCCTCAAAGCCTAACATATAATAATAATAATATATACTCACACACAACCACCACTGTATAGTTTGTCCAAATATGGTGCAGGCGGGTATGCTAAGCAGCACAGAACACACACACACAAACATATAGTCAGATGCGAATTTGATCCATACGTTAATATATGGTATTTTACGATCTTTTTATATGCTCGTCGTCGTCGGCGTTCTATTCTTTACGAAGAAAGAAAATATATTATATACGGCGGCGGCGGTGCGTATAAAAACTATACACCACTCATTGAAACCTTTTATATATATATATATATATATATGTATATAACGTCGGGAGGGAAAGAAAACATCGTGTGCGTATATATTATCATTGTTATTATAACTATATTATATCCTCTACCGTGGTAATTTAAGTACAAATCGTGGGCGAAATCATTGTAATTGAGACGTGAGGTTGGTTATAATATATTATGTTAATGTCCGAGTTATAAAAAAAACACACACAGACGAGCGTTTATTATAAACTTACTACTACTATACTACTATTACTATTATTACTACGACGATGACGATATTATGTTATGGGAAACGATATTGTTAAAAAATATTGTGTATTGGTACTTAAAATAAAAAAAATACGATTTTTAACGAATTACTTTTTTTTTCCCCCCCCGCAGGAACAGTCGACGCGATCCTCCGGCGACGGCCGCCGCTCCGAAGATAGTTCGCGACAAGAACCTTTGATCGTATGAGACGATGACTGCAGCTATAATTCCAAAGTTATTAATAATAATACGTTCAGCGCAATCCGTGTGCGGACGACAGATGATGACGATTTTTTTTTCACGGAGAGATCAATACAATATTTTTGGTGCCGAACGGACGCCGCACAACGCGCCGCGGATACCACTATACGTACACACACGCGGCACAACCACACTCGGTCACCAGCCATTGCGATACAGACATACAAAATATTATTATAATCGCACACGCGATGACGATRGTATCTATCGCCTTCGTCGTCGCGTCCGGAGACCTCAACGCCGACACGATTTTTGCACACGCGACGCGCRAAATTCAAATTCGGAGTCAAGAAAAATTTACACCCATTAGTCGAATTGTAATCAAATTGGAAAAAAAAAATTGTTTTTAAACGGACCGTTTCAACTGTTGTAAATTATAGTTGTGCATCGTTGATAATATTKTATTATTGTTATTGTGTTGTGAGCATCGCCGTGGCGTATTATGCCGTTTAATGTGCATAACCGATGATGGCGACGTTTACTGACACATATTTCGACTAGTTTTAAAGTGAATATTATACATTAATTTTTACTTCCGTCGTTATCGTCGTCGATTCCCCATGGCGTGTGTGGTGGTGTCACCGTCCGTCGTCGCGTTTTTCTCAGATTTTGCCCGTTGTGTCTCAAAATTATTATTATTTGCACAAATACGTGCCGCTATAATATAGGAAACGCACTCGAAATATTGATCATATGTTATGGTGTTTTATATTGTATAAAATCGTAATTTTCGTGACTTTTTTAACCTCAAACGTATATATTAATATATAGAAAAAAAATCGTCTGAGCAAATATATATATATATAGAATTATAAATGCATATATACATATATTATATATATATATAAATATATTATAATATAGCCATTTGTCTATGGTTTCGATGGTAACGACAAAAAAAGCAAAACGAGAGTCCGCTTGACGAGACTTTTCAACTATAATTGCTGTCATTAATGGCTTACACTCCCCACACGATATATGTATGTGTATGTATATATTTATACATGTATAAATATATATAAATAAATGTATATGTATGCATATTTATATATATATATATAATTCTGCGAACCTATCTCTATGTGTATCTCCACCATATAATATATATATATATATATATTATTTTTTTTTATAATTTTTAGAATCATTGTTTTAAACTGTTTTGTTTTTTTTTCCTCCTCCCGCCTTATTATTACTATTAATAGTGGGTTACCATTTTTTCCCAATGCTTGCTAATGCGTAAAAAAAATTATAACTAAAAAAGCCGATTGTATTTTGAAAACGAGGAATTGTGAATATTTTTTTAAAAAAAACAAAATGTCTTTTCGATTTATATATAAAAGAAAAATTGTGTAAAGTGGTAAATTTGAAATTTATGCGTTTTTATATTTTATATTATTATTATTATAGTTATTTATTTATTATTATTTTTAATGTAAATTATTGCTGTTATTCTCTGTTGAAAAAGTAGATTTGTATTATTGTTTCTTCGAGCGCACCTACTACCAGATTGTTGTTATCAAATTAAGCTTACTGCCCTGTGCCCCCCCTCCTCCCTCCAGCCAGTGTGTAGTTGTATTTATGTGTATAATGAATTTTAGATATGCTAAAATAAAAATTCTTTTTTGCAGTACCTATATTGTATGATATATATTATATATACATATATATACATGAATATTATATTATAACTGTTGTAAAAAAAAAAAGTTTTTACAAAAAAAAAAACAAAAAAAAAAAAACAGAGAAATCTACCAGTTCCTAATTTTTTTATTGTAATAATTTAATATTAATAATAACAATGGTAAAAAAAAAAAAATGCTATAGTAAATTTACGATATTTTTTAGTTGTTGTAAATAAAAATAAACTCAAAATATATACCAAACACTTTTTGTTGTACTTTACATAATATCCATGTCGAATGTATCGTGTTATTGTGTTTACATAAATTGCATACGCCTATAAATCTATATGCATTCTGCAGGGTGATGAAACGCGGTCCTTGCAGCCGGATGTCCGTTTTCAATAAATTATTGTACCCGTTAATGTTTATATCATAATGATATGTGTATAAATAAATGCTAATGATGTTTCGCAACACTCATAGGCACAAATCAGCCAAAAACATCATTAGGGGGGGGGGCTTAAGCGCCAACAATGTCTGACGAAACAGATCAAATTTCCCGTTAATATCATAATTTCACAACAATTATTATKATATTATACCTCTGTAATATGTTCTATATGTCATTGCAGTTTATAATTATTTCCAGACGTAAACTCGACACATTATAATTTATATTATGAATAATCAAATAAATATGAAACTGTTTTTGAATCTTTAATAAATGTGATTATTATGGAAATCAGGAACGGCGCTAGGATTTGCGGGKCCTCGGGCAAAACAAATAACAGTCACACATTACATAATATATTATCCAAACTAACTAATCTCTGAACAGTAAAAAAATATCATTTAAGAACTGCGGGGCCTTGATTATAATTTTAAAATCGCGGGGCCCGGGGCAACCGATCCGATTGCCCCCCCCCTCGCGCCGTCTCCGATGGAAATATGATGGTATAATAGTACTATAAGTTATAACCACGGGATGCGGGGGGTGCTATAGCATTAACATTCAGTGTGCCAAGCACCCTCAGCACCCCTGCGATTTGCGCTTATGTGGGTCAACACCTACCGCGTCCGGTTGGCTGCCCTAGATCCGTATTTGTTTTCCGATTTATTGCTGCACGACTCGAAATCGGCAAAACCGAACGAATCAAAACGTTTACATATTATTATTATATTGCATTGCTCGGTATACCGTCCGTCGCGTCGGCGCCTAAGTGGCGACACCATGCAACTGGGTGCATTTGCATTTGCATCCCACCGGGGCTGTTTTCGTATAACATATGAMTGATATGACGTGTGTCACATTTGCTATGACATTGAAATCTGTAGAAAGTTTTCTATCACACAAATAATAATAATAATTAGGTATCCTCTTTTGACGGGTTCGGAAGTTTTCAAGGATAACATTTCTATAATTTTTTTAATTCTTATTCGATGGATGCGTGTATTCATTGAACATTAATTTAAGTTTATATTCGATTAATTATCATCATTTAAATTTCCTTACGTTCAGTCATTTTTKATCAGAAATATATGATGACCATTTTTCGCACTTGTACTTATTCCTGCTGTTGTATTCATCGTTATCATGTTTCGTATCAACAATTATAAGACGTCGAACGATTTTTTAAAATTCGCAATGATATAAATCAATATATAACATATAATTTTTCAACCCAATAAAAATACTTATATACTCATTTTGCGAGCGGCTCTGCTCGTGCAGATTGGCTGCTGAAATTTTACACTCAGTCGACCTCGTAATTAGCTCCGTTGGTTTGAAAACTAGAGAATTGACCTCTTATAAAATTTAAATGTAAGTGCKTATTAATTAGACGACATCGGGACCTTTTTTATTATGTTTTAATTTTGAAGCAAACTTATTAACCGTCTTAGGCGCAAATGAGAGACGACTGTGGGGGGGAGGCTAAGCC